AAGGAGCTGGCTTTCCGAGACAGCTGGGTGTTTGTAGGGGCCAAGGGCGTGCAGAACAAGAGCCCCTTTGAGCAGGTAGGGTGGGGAGAGCCTGGCACCTCTGCCTACAGCCCAGGGTAACCACCAGGTCCCTCTTCCCTCCACACTTTCCCCCAAGTTCTGCCCCAGCAGGGTCCCCAGCTGGCAGGAAGCAGCCCTGGCCCCTTTGCCAAATGTGCCAGGAGGGACAGTAGCTTTGACCTCCAGCATTTTGCCCAGAAAGATCTTGAAATGGCAAAGTTTTCACATTGGCAAGACCCACAACCCAGAAACCCTACTCCCAACCATGTTCAGGATTCCCAGTCCTAGGCTAGGCCTCCTGAAAGGTATTGTGCCCTTCCTGCCCACCAGCCCTGGTTGTGCTTTGGGGTGAGTATCCCTCTGGGGCCACACAGGTCAGTCCTGTGCCAGAGCTAGGTAAGAACCAGTGAGAGCCATGGCACCCCTGGCCATGCTTTCCACAACGTGCCAGCTGGCTGCCCCGGGGGTTTCTGCAAGACTCTGACTGCCATAGGAATAGCACACCACCACACCCCCCGAAAGAAAAAACACCACCTCTGGCCTTGTTCCTGCTGCAGGCTGTGGGAGGCAGGGATCTGGCCCACTTCTGTCCCCTGTCCCACAGCATGTGAAGAACAGCAAACACACCAACAAGTACGAGGGCTGGCCCGAGGCGCTGGAGATGGAAGGCTGCATCCCACGCAGGAGTGCGGCCAGCTAGCAGGGCTGGCACAGGCCAGGCCAGGGAGGCGAGTCTCACTGTGGGATGGCGGCGTCAGCCAAGGGCTGAAGCCCATGGCCGGCAGGAACATACCCTCACTCAAGATCTGCCTCGAAGACACATAAGGCTCCGAGGCAATGCCAGGGTGGCCTCAGGGTGTTGGGAGCTACAGGGACCGGCCCATCACATTTGGTGACAAGAGCCCAGGTACCTGCTGTTTTTGCTAAAGTTGTGCCTCTGGTCAGACCCCATGCAGCCCTCTCCCTCTGTTCCTCATGCCAGCTCCTTCCCCACCTCGAGTGCTCCCAGCTGGAAGGACCCTGGGTGCTCACCCCTCTCACTACACTAGTCTGGTTGCCACTGCCCACAGGTTGGGCATCTTCCAGAAATTCTCTATTTCAGAAATGCTCACTGCACTGTAGGCTTGACCTGTTTCCACTGTGACCCCTTCTGGTGAGCCAAGTCTCATGAATCCAGCTACCTCCTGCTTCATTCTCAGTAGGAGGGCCACTCCGAGCAGGCCGGCCCAGGCTGATGAGGTGGCTAGAGCCTGATAACAGTCCATTGGCGGAGGACCTGCTGTCTAAATGACCTCTTAATAAATCAATAGCCCCAATGCAATGAAGTGCATTCAGATGTTGTCATCAGTGATGAGTCAGGAGTGATGTTGTCTTCTAGGGTATGGGGGGCGGCGGGGGACAAGTCTTGGAGTCTCAGCCAGCTGCCACCAACAAGCCCCACTGTGGCCGAGATACGAAATCTGGGCCAGTTGGTGTTCAGAGAAAGGACAGAGGACAGTTTGGACTTCTTCAATGGGAGGAATTGTTTTTGTCCAGATATTTCGACATGCCACTCAGGAATCCTTGAGGTGGTCTTGCCAGGAGCGATGGGTGTCCCATCTCCTCAGAGCTAGGTACTGCCAGTCCCAGGGAGTACAGAGTTCCAATAAAACCTCAAGGAATGAAGGTTTTAAGGAGCAGGCAGATGTTAATTTCAAGGCATGCAGGTGCCCAAGAGACTCACCAGGGGAAAGATAAATGATGCCAGGACCGCCAAGGTCAGGACAGGCGGTCACAGCCAATCCAGCCCTGACAGGGCTAAGCACCTTATGCAGGTATTCTTCTTAAGAGCCTTTTTTATAAAATGAATGTGTGTATGTATATTTGCTATAGGGCATGTGTCACTGCAAAGAAACGAATCACTTTCCGGGGGGATGACCACACCTCAGTCCCTCCTCCATTCTGCTCTTGGGATTTGGGGCATACATGCATACATACACACCCCACATGATTTTCAAGCCTCCAGGTCCAGGACTTGAATTGTGAACCTTAATCTCTCTGCACCACCTGCTGGCCCTTAAGAAATGTTTTAGGTTCACATACAGAGTTGCTACACACCCCTCCTCTGCTGGCCTTCCCTTGTTCTAGTGCAGTTCACATTATGGTGGGCTCTTGGCAGTATGCAGCCTGAGTCTCAACCAACTGTGTAAGGACATGGGCCCACCATTACAGTGTCACAGGTGTGCTCGTTTTCAACCTTTTATTATGGAAAATTCCAAACATCTCCAAAGGCAATATAATCAATTCCGACGTGCCATCCCCCTTCTCCCTCTGGCCAGTTTTCTCACCTGGTCTCACAGTGGTCATTGTCTGACCAATGTCCCACCTGCATCGCCCCCACCCCAGCTGCCTATGTTGAAGCAAATCTCAACTTAGTTCTCCCATCATTACTTCAGTTACACACGAGTAACCACCCTATCAAGTGACAGAAGTGCCACTGTCTCTGTTGTCTACAAATGATAAAGGTGCTTGGGAGGGTTGCAGTGGAGCTACAAAGGGAGAAGGCGGGTAAGGATGATCCTACAAGGGTAGCAGTTTGTCTCAAGATCAAACAGGCAGGTGATGGCTCCTACCTACCTCCTTGCAGGGGCACCCAGTGGGCCAGCTTCAGCCCCTATTTGGCAGCTCTCCTTCATTAGGGTCATCCCCAGGCCTACCCATTAGGAGTTAGGACATCCTCAATTACAAATGCCAGATTCCAAACTCGAACACAAAGCAAAAAAGGGGGGGTATTGTTCCTATAATGCATACCCCCAAGCCCACAGGTGATTCCAGCTCCAACAGAGCCATAGTAACATAGGCTTTCTCTGTCTCTGTCTTGTCTCTATAGCTGCCTTAATTTTCCAACACGATGTCTTCCTCAGATAGAAAAGACAACAGAGGTCCCAGTTTGGCACCCAGCAGAAAAGAGCTCCCAGCTTCCTACTAGTTCCGGGACAAGGCCCTGGGGACTAATTTTCATTGGTGCAGAATGGATTATGAATTTATCCTTGCACTAATCTGAGCGACTCTGGCTGGCTACCCTTGAGTGCGTGCCCACCCCAGAGGCCACTACAAATCTTCAGATACTGACAGTGAAGGAGGCAGGCAAAAATGACACCATAGCTACCACGGCATTGCCCTGTAAATACCAAACACACCCCTGTACTTGTACACAAACTTGTATATACGGATCTTCAAAAAATTCACAAGAGTGCTAGCTGGTGGCATGGTGATTAAGGTGGCTGGATCCCATGTGGCCAATTGCACAGTTCAAGTCCCAGATTGGGTGACTTGAAAAACACTACGCACATGTGTGTGCATACCCAAAACTCTGAAAAAATAGAGAAGGGGATGCAGTGTGGCCACCCCCCCCCCAAAGGGATGCTTTCTTACTCCACCCTCCCAGATTAGTGCACACAATGTATAGCAAAACCATAAATAAATCAGTTCATGGAGAATGCCTATTACAGAAAACTATCCATGGATTCCACAGTCTTGTATCAGTATAAACTTGTACTTTGATTCCATTGTCCACGAGTTGTTCAAAGTGCCCTCATGTGCCTTCTGTGCCTGCTTGCGTATCTCACAGTGCTTCTGGAAGCTCCTCCTGGAAAGCAGGAGGCAGGATCACCACTATGGTGACCTAATACAGTGAGTGGCAGGTCTCCCATCTGAAGTGCATGTTTCTGCTGCTGTTATTTGTTCTGTCCTCTCAGTCCAGATGACCTCTTTTGGAACTAGAATCCTTGCCAAATCTGTAGCCTTTCCTAGCTCTCTTCTGCATTCATTCTCCCTGGCCCCTAGCACACAATAGGACTTAGTGACTCCCAAGTGGCCAGGTCTAGGTGAGTGACAGCATCAGGCAGGCAAAATATGAAAATTCAGGTTTCTTCCAAGAATGACACATCATTAAGGTTCTCCTTCCTTGGTTCTTCTCGCTGGCCCATCCCCCTTCCTCTGGCCAATTTTCTCTCATCCTGTCCCTACCCACACTGCCCTTTTCCAATCTGCAGCCTTCAACCCTAGCAAGTGCCAAGCCCCACCGTCTCACTTGTCCTAGCTCTAAGGACCCCATAATTTTGTCAGGACCCTTCAACCTCATTTGAGAGGGAGAGTTGAACATCCTAGACACAAGTACACACACAGAAACAGCATATATGCCATACTAGTCCTCTGAGGCTAAAGAGCAGCCTAGAGCTATGACTGTGAACAATTTTTTTGAGAGGTTTTTGCTATAGGGCACATGCGCTCGTCAGACAGACAAGAGAGAGACAGAGAGACAGAAAGCGAGAAGTCACCCCCCAGGGCGGATGGTCACGCTGCAGTCCCTTCCCCTCCTGGGATCTTGGTCACGCACGCACATGCACCCAGCATGAGTTTAAACCACCGGGTCCGGGACTCGAACCTCAGTCGACTACGTGGGAGTCCAGGGACATAGCCATTACGCTAACTGCTGGTCCCAACAATTTTTGATCATTCACATCAAACCCTTTTAAATGTGCACTGCAACGTATATACATTTGCCTATATGTCATATGCACATACTATTAATTTAAACTCCAGGGACCAGGCAGGTGGCATGGTGGTTAGGGCAATGGACTCCCACATGGTCAACCGTAATTCAAGTTCTGGACCTGGTAGCTTGCATTCTCACTCACTCTCTGTCAAATTAAAAACATAATAGAGACCAGCAGTTGGCATAATGGCTATGTCGCTGGACTCCCATGTAGTCCACCACGGTTTGAGTCCTGGACCCCGTGACTTAAAGTCACGCCTGGCGCATGTGCATGCGTCCCCAAGATCCCGAGAGAAGAATGGAGAAGGGATTGCAGCATGGCCATCCCCCTTGGGGGGTAATTTCCTGCTTTCTATCTCTGTCTTTCTAGAGAGCACACCCGTCCTATAGCAAGAACCTCACCAAAAAAAAAAAAAACTCCAAAAAAGACCATAATAATAATGATGGATAAAATTAGGTATTTTTCAAAAAATAATTTGAACTTTACAAAACACACAAAAGTAAACATTTTAAATAAAAATTAAATATTTATGATATGAGTTGGGATTTATTTTCACACACCCTGAATGACAAGTCTTGTGCACCTCCCCCGAGCAGGTTATCTCCGACGTTAGTGCCCACTGCAGAAGGGTCTCTTGGAGCAGTATAGCCCAATTCCAGTTGCCCCGGCAACCTTTGGGAACATCCACATCCCCTGGAACCCTGCACTTGTCGACAACGTCCTTTGTAGAAATACCTCCCACTACCCTTTTCCGATCCTCCTCCCATCGGTTTCTATTCCTTTTCCGTGAAGACTCCAGACGTTGCTCGTGGCGCCAAATAGTTTGTAAAAGTAAACAAGTGCACTTCGTGTTCCATAGCGTGGAAACAGGCATTCAGTGAAAGCCTGAACGGAAGGGGGAACTCGGCACAGAACCTGGAGTCCGGGTCGGTCGATTTCGGCTTTCGGGCCACAGGGCTGGGCGCCCTGAGCGGCACCGTGGCCAAATCCCCAAGTCCGGTACGGCCCCTAGCAGCAGGGCACGGGTGCCCCAGCCCAGTTAACGGCTAACCCTGTGTCCCACTGCCCCAAAAGGTCGAAGCGAACTCGAGGACGACCGAGGATCCCACAGAAGCCTCAAAGGTAGGAACCCAGCCAGGAGGAGGTGCACCCGGCCCTTTCTAGTTGCTACTCCGGAAGCAGCCGGTCCCATGCGCCTGCGCACTCGTTCGCCCCGAAAACGTCACA